ATAACAAGATAGCTCTAATCAAAAGAAAGTGAGAGTACCTATTATTAGTTTCAGACAGAGAGGACTTAAGACCAAGGAAAGTTATCAGGGATAAACAGGGGATTACATAATAATAAAGGGGTCAAGTCTCAAGGAAGACATAACAATACTTAAGGTATATGGTCCTAACAACAGAGCATCAAAACATGAGGTGAAAACTGATAAAGGCAGTACAATGAAGCAAAGATAGTCTTTTCAACAAATGGTGTTGAATAACTAGACATCTACATGCAATAAAATGAATCTAGACACTGACCTGACACCCTTCACAAAAATTAACTCAAAATGGATCATAGACCTAAATGTAAAATGCAAAACTATAAAACTTCTATAAGATAACACAGTAGAAAATCTAGTTTCCCTTGGTATGGTGATGATTTTTTAGATACAACATTTTAAGCACACAAGGCACAGACTGGGAGAAACTATTCACAAAAGTCATATCTGATAAAGTTGTTATCTACAATAAACAAAGAGCTCTTAAAACTCAACAATTAGAAAACAACTCAATTAAGAATTGGGCACAAGACCTGAATAGGCACCTCATCAAAGATGTACAGATGGCAAATAAGCATATGAAAAAAATTCTTCACATCTTATGTCACTAAGGAAATTCAAACTCAAATAACAAGATGCTAGTACACACATATCAGAATGGCTGAAATCCAAAACACTGACAACACCAAATGCTAAAGAGGATGTGCAGCAACAGGAACTCTCATTCATTGCTGGTGGGAGTGCAAAATGGCACAGTCACTATGGAAGACAGTTTGGCAGTTTCTTAGAAAACTAAACATATTCTTACCATATGATCCAGTAACCACACTCCTTGGTATTTACCCAAAGAAGTTGAAAACTTATGTTCACACAAAAACTTACACACAAATGTTTACGGCAGCTCTGTTCATCATTGCCAAAGTCTGGAAGCAACTAAGATGTCCTTCAGTAGTTGAACAGATAAACTGTGGTACATCCAGAGAATGGAACATTATTCAGTGCTAAAAATAAATGAACTATCAATATGAAAAGACATGGAGGAACTTTAAATGCATATTACCAAATAAAATAAATCAATCAGAAAAGACTATATACGAGGCTCACACTGTGTGATTCCAATTATATGAAATTATGGAAAAGGTAAAACTAGGAAAAGCAGTAAAAGGATCAGTGGTTGTTAGGGGTTAGGGAGAACAGAGGGATGAACAGGCGGAGCACAGAGGACTTTCAGGGCAGTGAAATTGCTCTGTGTGATACTATCATGGTGGATACACATTATACGTTTTTCAAAACCCATAGAATATACAACGCTGAGAGTGAACCCTAATATAAATTATGAACTTTGAGTGACAATGATGTGTCAGTGTAGGTTCATCAATTGTAACACATGTACCACTCTGATGCAGGCTGTCAATAGTGGGGGACGCTGTGCATGTGTGGGGAGAGGGGTATATGAGAACTCTGTACTTTTCACTAAATTTTGCTGTGAACCTATGTTTTAGTCTGTTTTGTGTTGCTATAACAGAAATACCTGAGACTGGGTAATTTATAAACAACAGATTTATTTGGCTTACGATTCTGGGACAGCTGCATCTGGCGTGGGCCTCAGGTTGCTTCTACTCATGGCGGGAAGTGGCAGGCAGCCAGTGGGTACGTGCAGATCACCTGGCGAGAGGAAGCAAGAGAGAGAGAGAGAGAGAGAAGGTGCCAGGGTTTTTTTAAGCAACGAGCTCTCGTGGGAACTAATAGAGCGAGAACTCACTCATTAATCCATTCGCGAAGGATCCGCCCCCATGACTCAGTCAGTTTCCAGCACTGCCACATCGAGATCAAATTTCCACATGAGTTTTGGAGGGGACAACACACCCAAACTCCATCAACCTAAAACTGCTCTAAAAAATAAAGTCTATTTAAAAAAAAAAAAAAAGACACTCAAAATGGACACAGGAACTAGACAATTCTCAGAACTATAAATGTCCATCAAGTATTGGTAATCAGGGAAATACAGATAAAAACAATGAGGTATCACTTATTTGCCCATCAAATTGGACAATGAGTTATAAGACTCATGTCTAAATTTGGTGAGGGTATAGGAAATGAGGAGAATGAGGAATAATATATTGTTAAATGTGTAAATTGGTACAATCTTTTCAAAGGACATTTTGATAATATTTATCAAAATTTAGAACGTGCATGCCCTGTGACCTAGCAGTTTCTGTTTTAGAAAAATACTTACATATTGCCCCCAAGATATATATATAATATTGATTGTAATACATGAATCTGGACATAACCTAGATATTCATCAATAGTAGTAGAGTTAAGTAAACTATGATAAATGCACAGCTTTGGATATTACATGGCAACTACAAAAAAAATAGCATAGAAAGATAACCTAGGTGTCTTGTTGATGGACAAATGCAAGTCACAGAATAATATGAATAGTTTAATCCCAGTTCTATTAGGAGAACTACATATAATTTGTGCCAGAAAGTGCATAGCAATATTTGTTTTATTTTATTTTTTATTGTAACATAGTTGATTATACATATCTGTGGGGTACAGAGTTGAATATCATTACCTGTGTGCAATATGTGATGGATGCTCGAATCAGGATAATTAGTATATCCAACATTATACAATGTAATTGTTTTTCATGGCCCTTTACCTATTCCTCCCTTCCCTCCCCACCTTCCGTTCCCCTTTCCCACCTCTGGTGGCCTCATTTCTGCTTTCTCCTTTTGAAAATTCAGCATATTATTGTTACTATTATATCTTTATTTACTTGTTTATTTTTTAGCTCCCACTTATGAGTGAAGACGTGTAGTATTTCTCTTTCTGTGCCTGACTTATGTCACTTAACATGATTTTCTCTAAGTTCATCCATGTTTCTGTGAATGACAGTATTTTATTCTTTTTTATGGCAGAGTAGTATTCCATCGTGTATATATACCACACTTTCTTTATGCAGTCATCTGACAATGGACGTTTAGGTTGGTTCCAACTCTTGGCTATTGTACATAGAGGCATAGCATTATTTGAAAAGAAACAATTAATTTTTCTGAACTCTAAGAAGGGGTATGGAATGAGAGATAGGGTGTGAAGAAGGATTTTTACTTTTTACTATATGGATATGTTTGTTTTTTTTCCTACATGAAAACATTACTTTTATAACTGAAAAACAATAAAAGGGAGAGAATAAATGAATTAAAATAAAATCTTCCAGGAGTTGAGGAAGCATAGAGCATATTCAGAGGACAGAATGAATCCCTTTCTGGCTGAAGCAGAAGGTTTACAGATGGGGGCAGCAGCAGTTAAGAGAAGACGGATTATCTCAGGTCTTAGATAACAGGATGAGGAGTGGCTACTTCATCAGTTAAGCAGTGGGAAACCAGTGAAGGTTTTTACTGGGGGAGCAGTGTGATAAAAGGAGACATGTAGGGAATAGAGTCTGGCTGCAGGTTGGCCAGATCCAGTGGGAGTATCTTTGGTAGCTCAGGTACAAGGGTTTAAGGACTAGATGAGTGTAGTGGCCATAGCAATGGAAAAGCAGATAGGAGAAACATTAAAAAAAGAATTGACAGGGGCCGGCCCGTGGCTCACTCGGGAGAGTGTGGTGCTGATAACACCAAGGCCGCGGGTTCGGATCCCATATAGGGATGGCCAGTTAGCTCACTAGGTGAGTGTGGTGCTGACAACACCAAGTCAAGGGTTAAGATCCCCTTACCGGTCATCTTTTAAAGGAAAAAAAAAAAAAAAAGAATTGACAGGATGTGATTATAATTAAAGATGAGGCACAAAGGCATCCAAGATGATGCAGAAAAAATGACAGTGTCACCTGGTCCTTTGAGAGACTGAAGCTGCAAGAGCTACTTGCGCAAGGTTGACCGACAAAATTGGTTATTTGGTTGACAGGACAGCAGTCTCTGTGGTTTGTGAATAGCATTCTGTGGACAGGAACATCTCTACTGAAATTGAATACCCCCATACCTCATTTCTGAAGTCAGGAAAGTGCCCTAAAGGTGTATCTCTTGGTCAAATCGGGTTTACCTGACTGTAGCAATGAGAGAAACTAATCTTTGCTAAAGGAAAGCAAATGTGAAACTTAATAAACCACAGAGCGTTATTATTGCATAGTGGAAACTCAAGCAACCATGCAGGGGTGAGAAGGAAATTTCATCCGAAAGAGAGAGCTCTGACTTCAGAATTGTCTCTAGTCATCCAACAATCATTTATCACGCACTCACTACTCTAGGGGTTGTGACATTTCTCAGCATATTTAGGAAAAATGAGAGGGGCAACTGTCTCACAGCTAAATAATTTTGCCTGAGGGGGAGCACAGTGTCTTGCCCATTAATTCCACAAAGCTGCTATGACTAGAGGCATTATGGCCATGTTGACACAAACTAGGAAGTCTTGAAAGGGTAGTTGATTGGGGAAATGTGGGGGTGTGATGACAGACATGATCAGAGAACCCAGAAGAGATGCCAAAATTAGGAACTTTGAATGGGGGATCTAGAATCACAGAAACAGATGAGATTGGTAAGGCGGCAGTTCTCAAAGAGGTTTACAGTAATACTAAAATGTTACTTGCCTTTTTTACCCTCATTCTCTCATGAATGCACAGTGGGGTTTTTTCAGAGCCTACATGACAAGTAGTATCACAAAAAACTGAATATAGAAGCATATATAACAATCCTGCGATAAAGCCAGACCTTAAAGATGGTTGCTGAAATGTTAAATAATGCCACTCTTCTCACTATTTTTGTTTTGGAAATTAGTTATTTTTCATAAAAACATAGTATTAATATTAACAAGATTGGGGGGGAGGAGAGGGGGTGGAGAGGAACAGGTAAAGGGGTATGAAAATCAAGTACACTATTTTGAGAAGTTATATATATATATATTAACAAAATTGGGTTTATTGTTGCTAATTTAAATAAATTAAAGTATTTTTAAATATCTTCATTTTAATTTTTTAAAACAAATTTTATTTTTTAGAACAATTTTAAATTTACAGAAAGACTGCAAAGATAGTACATAGTGCCCATATATCACACACTCAGTTTTCTGTTATTAACATCTTACTTACATTAGAAATGTACGGTACATTTGTCACAACTACTAAACCAATATTAAGACATTATTACTACCTAAAGTCCATACTTTACTCAGATTTCCTCAGTTTTTCCCTAATGTCCTTTTCCTTTTCCAGGATCCCTTCCAGGATACAATATTACATTTATTTGTCGTGTCTCCTCAAGTGTCTCGTGGCTGTGACAGTTTCTTAGTCTTTTCCTTGTTTTCGATGATCTTGACAGTTTTGAGTACTGGTCAGGTATTTTGCAGAAGATCCCTCTGATGGAACTTGCCTGGTGTTTTTCTCATGATTAGACTGGGGTTATGGAGAGGACAACCACAGAGATAAAGTGTTATTCTCATCAGATCATACCAAAGGTACATACTATCAACCTGACACTGGTGAAGTTGACCTCGGCCACCTGGCTGAGATAGCATTTGTCAGGTTTCCCCACCGTGGCGTTGCTCTTCCCCTCCACATCCCCTTCCTGTACTGTAAAGTCACAGTGCAGAACCCACACGTAGGGAGTAGGGAGTTATACTTCACTCCTTGAGGGGAGAGCATCTACATAAATTATTTGGAATTCTTCTACATGGGAGAGTTGTCTCTTCTCGCCCACTTATTTATTTAATTCAATCATTTGTTTACATCAGTGTGGATATTTATTTTATACTTTGGCTTACAATTCTAAACTTTCATTTTGTTGTTCAAATTGTCCAGCTTTGGCCATTGGGAGCTTTTTCAGTTGGTTCCTGTGTTTATGTTAATTTTAAATATGGATAGCTATAACCCACATACACAAAACCTCTTTGGGGTCTTCGATAATTTTTAAGAGTGTAAAGGGGTCCTGAGACCAAAACGTTTGGACCCGCTGCTCTTGGGGAACCCCCCACCTGACCCCAACCTGGAGGGGGTTGGAGTGGGCAGAGGCACACGAGATCATACTCCCGCACTCTTGGGAACGCCCACGTCCTCGTGCCACGCCCCTCCTAAAGTTCCCTCCGCGTGTGAAACGCAGGGGTCCCCAAGACGAAGCTCACGCTGCCATGCCCTTCCTGCAAACGCCACGAAGGGGCGCTCGGCCCACAGAGTGAGTCACCCACCGGCGGCTCGGGAAGGGGCCGGCGTCTTGGCTCGGCTCCAGCATTTTCCTCCGCAGAGCCCCGGGCCCTGGCCTGGCTTGAGCAGTCTCGTCCTCACTGCAGCCTCTGTGGGTTCCTTCTCCTGGGCAGCAGGAGGCCCGCGGGTGTGGCGCCCGCGGGCAAGAGCGATCCTGCGGCAGTGGCGGGGCGCCGGTTCTCCTGTTCGGAAGCGTGCCACCCCGGTGCCCTCCACTGCCCGTCCCTGCTGAAAGCAGCCGGACAGCTCCCCGGGCCCCGCCGGAGCCTAGCCCTGCACGCTGCGCTCCGCTCTCAGGTCTGGCTGGCTGGGCCGGGCAGACCCTTTACTCTGCAAACGTACAGAGACAGCGATAAATGGCTGCAGCTGGAGACCGGGCTAATCGATACAATAAGTTCTGTAATTGCTTCAAAAATAAGGTAATGATTTGGCAGAGGGAATGCTTTGATCTTATCAGCCAAGAGAGACCTCTCCAAATGAAACTTCGAAACTTCGGAGAAGGGCTGGAGTTCTCTAACTTGTAGTGTGAAGCCCAGGGACAGCCTACTCTCCCCATTCCCCCCACGCCCCGTCCCCGGTGTCCCCTGTGCCCAGCTTGACACTACAGGCTTTTCAAGAAGGGATGGAAAGACCCTTCTCCTATGGTGACTGGAGAAGAGCACATACACATAGGCCATGGGCTCCTTGTGGAGAAGGGGTGGGCCCTGTGCTGTTCAGGAACAGGGGACGGCTGGAATGATCAGTCTTGTGCTAGAGAAGCTGTAGAGAAGGAAATTCGAGGGACGTGGGGAGAGCAGCCTGGAATCACAGAAAACCTGACTTGGCTCAAGCCTGATGATGTCGCTACACAGGGAAGCTGCTGATTTGGGCCTTTCAGGCAGGAGGGGGTAACAGAGGGAGGAGAACCTTGAGTGTCCTGCCTTCTCCGAGAATCTGCACACACAAACTCAAAAACACACCCTCGCTCTGCGCTGTGGGTGTCCCTGCCTGGCAGAGGCCCCAGCACAAAGAGGATTAGAGAGATGAGCTAATCTGGTTTGTATCCCAGACATGGCCCCAGAAAGGGACCTTGTCTACTCTGATGTTTAAGGGGGTGAAGGAGTGAGTCCTCCTCCTTTGGGGACCTTCTGGCTGACAGTATCAGAGACCCCTCCCCACTGGAGTCCCTAGAATGCTGGAGTCTTGACTTTGGGTCAAATTTAGGGAGCAGAGAAGCAGGGCGTTTGGGAACAACAGGGTGGGCGGGGCTACAAGAAAGGAGAGAGATAAAGACAGAAAGAGCTTGCACAGAGGGAGCTAAATCTCCACCTTACTTGTTTCACCAGCCTGGAAACTGAGGCTTCAAGTGGAAAAGTGACTTACGGAGTCATGCAAAACAGTGCATGGCTGAGTTGGGGGGGAAATAACGCAGGTTTTCTGACTTTTTCTGGCCCAGTGCACTTTGTACTGTTGCAAGAGCTGCAAGGAGGAGATGTGAGACAGAGGGCAAAAGAAAGAGAGAGAGAGACAAAGACAAAGAGAAACAAAGATACACACCAAGGAAAATCTAGAGAGGCGTGTGCACGCATACGCGTGTGCACACACACACACAGAATGAGAAAACCACAGAGGGTCAGAAAAGACGTGCAGTGAGAGATGGAGAGGGTGAAAGAAGAGCAAGACAGGTGATTCACAGAGGGAGATGGAGAATGTCAGAGAGACAGATACAGACTGAGAGACAGGGAGTGACACTGACAGGGAGAGAGACAAGAGACAGAGACTCAGAAAGGGGGGACAGACGGACATTCAGATGGGAGGAAGGTCAGACAGACTTAGACACACAGAGAGACAAATGAAGACAGGGAGACAAACACAAAGAGAAGAATAGACACAAGATGACAGAAACTTGAGAGAGCGAGCGTGAGTGAGCGAGCAAGCCAGACAGATGGAGACAGAGAAGAGACATGGAGAGCATGAGAACAAGAGGCAGAGTGGAGGAAGCAGAGCAGAAGGGAGGCAGAGAGTGGGTTCTGCAGAGTTTTGTTCTTTGGAAGCAAATTGCTCTTCCAGATCATTCTGGGGCCCAGAACAGGTAGCAGGGAGAGAAAGAGAACACAATGCTTAGCCTATTTGATACAGGCAGATTGGGAAAGGGGGGCTGAGGGCAAAGTGGGAACCCTCCCTTGGAAAGAGTCTGCTCAGTGACCACCCAGGATCTCAGCAGCACATCCACTGGCCTCACACAGAACCTGGGCCACCCGCCCAGGATGGCCGTCAGCCCGCCCACCGCCTGGCTCCAGTCTGATTACAGCCAAAGTGCTAAAAGGCTCCAGCCCCCCCCCCCATGCTCTGCCCCCATGGTCCCGCCTTCCTAAACCTCCTCTCCTCCTTTCCCTTCCCTGTTACATCCCTCTCTTCCTTTTTTCCTGGTCCCCTGGGGAGCAGTTTGCTGCCTCCCCTTTCCCTTCAGCCACTAGCTGGGAGGAAAGGGGTCCTGCCACACCAAGCCCCTTTCCCTGATTTGGGGCTGGATGCTCCTTCCCTCCAAAGCCAGCTTGGCCTGGCCTTTTTGAGACACGTTCCACACCTCGCCTGGGAGCTCATAAATACCAAGGAGAGGCCAGCTAGGCTGTGTTCAAAGCATGGATCCTCACCCTTCCCCCTTAAAAGCCACTTAGTTCTTCCCAAGCTCACTTCTTGCCCCCAGACACCTGCATGGGGCAGCAAGGCAGGAGGTGGGGTACTAGGGGCCTCTGTGAACCTGGCCTCATTTCAAATGAGCCCTGCCTCGGTTTGCAAAGAAATCTCAGGAAAAGCGTCTCAGGGCCCCTTGTGCAAGCAGCAGGCTCAGGAATTCCTTGACTCCCATCCAAACCTCCCCCCAGCCCCTTCTTGGCCTTTCTCTCTGCTCATTACCATCCACACCACCTCCCACCCACTGGGAAAAAGAGAAGGTCATCGCCAAAGGGGCCCAGGGAAGGGGGGCCTTCTGGGGGATAGACCAGGGCAGAGGAAGAGCTATTTACCCACACTTGAGCTCCCCTTAGCTCATCTCCACTTCCATCCAAGGGCCAGTAAAAATTCAACATCATTCAGCCACATATAGCTGAGAATAGAGCGAAAAATAAACCCTAACTCTAAGTGGCTCCAATGAGGAGTAGAGCAAGAGGTGAGATGTCAAGGGTGAGAGGAGACCCTTCTTTGGGCACCCACTTTTAAAAGGGCAGGAGGCTGTGCTGCCAGTATGGGGAAGAGAGAAGATCTGGCTCTGCTGGCTGGCTAAAAGCTGTCCTGCTGGAGGCCCCAGGGAATGTGGCAGCCTTGGAGACCCTGAGTTTCTTCCTCAGGTCTCTATTGACACTGCTCACTATGCCTGCAGCATGCAGCCTTGAACCCCAGCAGAGCCTAGTGTACCATCCTCAAGCGGATTTATTGTATTTGCAAGAAAATGCCTTGGGAGACCCTTTTGCACCTTCTGTGTCATTTAGGATGCTCTGGCCAGTGTTTGGCACACAACAGGTGCTCAGTAAGTGCTGACTTGACTCCATGCCTGGCCCTCCAGACCAGAACTTAACTCCTCTTCCTGGCTCCCATAACTCAGAGTGGGGGTGGGGGATAAGACCTGGCTCCCATAAGTCAGAGTGGGGGTGGGTTAGAAACTGGCCTGAGCTCTGGCCTTGACCCTTTGCCTGGAAGCCCCACAACAGGCCCTTGCGTGAGGAGCTGAGCTCTCCAGTAGTGTCTAGGACCTTGAGACTGGAAGTTTATTTTGAGATTTGAAGCTCCAAAGTGGCAGATCCCAGAAAACCTCTTCTCTGGCTCCGAATTTGTTCTCTAGTTAAGTGGTTGAGTGTAGCTCTTGCAGTCAGCTGGCTCCTACAGCCTGGGGTTCCTCCTGGGGAGCTGGGGACTCAGAGGGGAGGAAAGAAAAAGGAGGAGCAAAGACCCATCCTGGGTTGTCCCCCTGTAGGGCAGAGGTGGCCTGTAAGCTGTGGAGAGAAGTCTTGTCCCCTCACCCACTTCCCTCCCTCTCAGAGCTGCTGATGTTTCTGGAGGCCTCCTCAGCTCAATAACATGCTTTAATAGTTGAGCATCTATGTTGTGCCAAGACAAGGTCCCGCTTGACTATGAAGACAGCTGAAGCCAAAGAAAGGGGCTGCAGAAGTGAGTTTGGGGCCCATGTGGGCGAGTCCACTCAAGGTTAGGACTGATGTGATCATCTCCAGCTCCCCACCCCACAACCCAAACCCATATGTAGAAATAAACACATGGCCAGAGTCACACCCAGGTCTAAACACACAGGGGAGTCTGGGAGAGGCTGCTGGAGCTGCCCTGCTTATGGGGTGGGACTGGGCTTGGAGGAGGTGAAAGAGTGGTCCAAGGAAAGGGGCCTGGCCAGGAGTGAGCCTAGGCTCACTCCTCTCCCACCTGCCCCTCTCAGGGAAATTCAGCATAGAGCCTGTGCCTTTCTAAAGAAATTGCAGGGCCAATTGGAGCCTACCTGACAGAAAGAGAGAGAAGAGGAGGGAAAAGAGTCTGCTGGCTGGCAGAAGGGGATATGGTTCTGGTTCCTGTGACCAGAATGCTGGCCCTGCATGGTCTCTGTATTTCAACGCTCTCCCACTCCCATCCAACTCCACCCCAGCTCCCACTTTCCACACCCCCATTCCCAGAGTGGTAGGCACCCTCTACCTTGCACAACTTGGACCACTTCTCAAACCTTACCTATTTCTTCCTCTGTAGCTCACTCTCCAGCTGCCTGGCCCCCTTGCTGTCCCCTGCACACTCGCTCACTCCTGCCCTAGGTCTCTGTACTGGCTCTTCCTCTGTGGGAAATGTTCTTCCCCAAGAATCTGCCTGGCTGGTTTCCTCAGCTCTTTCAAGTCTTTGCTCGTGCCTACCCTGATCATCCTAGTTACAGTTGTGACACATCCTCTTTACCCTGCTCTATTTTTTCCCACTGCACTTACTACTTTCTAACATATTATATATTTGTGTCTGATGTTTACTGTCTATTGTCTATCTTCCCCCAAAAGAACCTAAACTCCATGAGGGCAGAAATTGTTTTGTTTTGCTTTGAGGATGTGTCCGTAGTGCCAAGCACGATCCTAGCACATAATATTTGTTGAATTAGAGCAGAGTAAAGAGGATGTGTCACAACTGTAACTAGGATGATCAGGGTAGGCACGAGCAAAGACTTGAAGGAGCTGAGGAAACCAGCCAGGCAGATTCTTGGGGAAGAACATTTCCCACAGAGGAAGAGCCAGTACAGAGACCTAGGGCAGGAGTGAGCGAGTGTGCAGGGGACAGCAAGGGGGCCAGGCAGCTGGAGAGTGAGCT